CTACTCCCTGAAGGCAGCCTTTTTCTTCTTTTAAGAAAGAACATGATGGAGAGTTTACAAATTAAACAGTCTTATTTAAATGCTTTATTTGTCTATAAGTATTGCCATTTGTTTGAGTTGCTCACATAAACCCATTCCATCCAAAGAGGAAATGCCAAGTGCTTCTAGCAGTGTGCTTACAGTTGGCATGGCCTAACAAAGATCTTCCACCACAGTCTACAGGAAACCGAAATGCAGTTCAACTAATTGGATGCTCTTTTCTCTGAGCCTGAAGAGATTTTTAAAAAATCAGTTTGGTTTTTTAAAATCCATCGAATGTCAATCATGGCAGAGAAGACCACTGAGCTGATTTCTGATACCTAAGTTGACACTGGTCATAACTTATCCTAAATGACTACCGGCATCTGAAAGACCTTAGTGTACGGCTCTTCACAGGTAACACAAGCACCACTCACACAAGAGCAACGGGGCATCCCCAGAGCAGTTGAGGGCTACATACTTCCTCCGCTGCTCCCTCCCTCACCACGGTTCTCAGGCCGAGAGCAGAGAGGATAATGCTAAGTCACCGAAGGCTTTACAACAGGAGGCTAGTGGGGGACGTCCTGTGAGGTACTCATTTATGAGGTACATCTGAATGCTAAAAATAATGATGAAATTTTGAGTACTCATGCTTATTTTGTATTGCCTTCCAGTAATTAGTTATTTTACATGTCTAGCCTGTGTTCTTTCTCACAGGATAGTTGGGAGGATTAAACAAGATAAAGCATGTTGACCGCCTTATTTGGTGTTTGCAAACCCAGGAAAAATATTCCCCTTTCTCCCCACTCCCAAAATAAAGAGGTTAGTCCTTGAATTTTGAAAGCACTTTATACATAAGAAGAAATTAGTCTTTCTGTCAGCATCCTCATCAGCATGATTCTGAATTCCTCCCAAGAGTGCCTTCTCTCTTGTAAAATAAACACTTTATTCTATTTCAAGTGCGCATAAAGTTTTGTTTTTGGTCAGTGCTCTTTACTTTCCGCTGTGAAACGTTATTTCTGAGGACTGAACCCCAGAAGGAAACATGTTAAATTTGTTTTTTTTAAAATGATGATTCAAAGACAGACTTGTAGAGAAGTCATGTTGGGAGGGAGAAGGCAAATGCAGCCTCTGAAGGGAACTGTTCTAATCATTACCTAGAAAACTAATGTTCTACAACCACATTCAAGTACACAAGGCAAAGCACTACTTTAAAATTAGAGGGACTGGTCAGGTCGGTGGAAAGCACAGCTGAAACAGGAAGGGAAATGCACTTGAGAATAATTTGAATTGAGACAATGCACCATCAGTCCTCGAAGCTTCTGTTATCCGAAAATATCCAGGTTCCCTGTCTCTCTTTTCTAACTCCCACAGTATCTTCATGGAAATCTCAAAGTAGTATTCTCACAGATCTAAATAATAGTTATCATTTTGTTAGGATTCAAAATTTCAATCCAGTAACCATCAGGATCTTGAATAAATGCCAGGCCTTTCATTTTACCTGTAAAATGAAATGGTTTTCATTATTAAAAAGACTGAAAAACTTTTAAAAGGTTTTTGTTACTTCAAATTTAATTTGCATTCTTTACAGTATTAATTTTCAAAAATTCTGTTGTCATTGTTGCCCAAATGCATGTTTTTTGGAATGACTAATATTCTAACTTCTATACATAGCTGGGAATATACTATTGTATAATGAAATAAACTGTGGGACTGGATACATCTTTTAGGTAACAGGTGAATCTCTCCTCTTTATAACATTATCATTTCATGCTACCAGTTGAGTCATTACAGAAATTGCACGCCCCCTACTGACGGGGGGGGGGAGCGGGGGGGGGGGGGGCGGATTGAGCCTGCAACCCAGGCAAGTGCCCTTGGCTGGAATAGAACCTGGGACACTTTAGTTCACAGGCTGTTGCTCTATCCACTCAGCCAAACTGGCTAGGGCAGAAATTGTCTTATTTTAGAGGAAGAAGAAAAGAAGGAGGTGCTCAAGGGAGCAGGGGGCATGGCTCACCCACAGCCCAAAGACCCAGATGCTCGAATCATACAACCCTGTGAAGACTATTCTGGGTAACCCAAGGTCCGCTGATCCAGTTCTTTCTCACAGGAATTCATAACTGAGACTGAAGTGGCAAGTAGAGCTGTTGGCTTAAATGGAACAATGTGACCTCGGAAATTTATGGGACTAAGATGCTGAATTAGTTGACTCCTATCTCTAGTTCTTTTCCCCAAAATCACCCCAGAGGAACATGGCAAGTAGGGGGGGAAAGTAAGAACCCCTTGGGTGATGGTTGTGGAGAGGAAATGTGGGAATGAGGTAGGGTGACTGTTTTAACTGGTCTATGTGGAAGGGGGTACTTTCCATCACGCCTGTGGGAGAATAAACAGGAAGTGTTTTGTTAGATTCTTGCTCCTCCCAGTGGCTGGGGCATCAGCACCACCCCACACTAGGGGGAGGGAAGTGGGTGAGGTTTCATGGACTCGTTCAGATGTCCTCAGGAGTAATGGTACCCCACACAGAAGCCTGTGGGGAATGAGAAAAACACGTGGGAACCGACTGATCCCCTCCAGCCTTCACTTTCCACACAGCCAGGCTTAGGGGCTGACAATCTCAGGAATGTCTCCTAGTAATACTGCTAATATTTCGTCCTGGAGGGACAAAGCAGGAAGCTCTAACCAAGAGACTTGGTCTGTGGAGTGTGAGGTGTTTGTCATTTTCAGTGCCTAGGGGTTTCTGCCCAGCCCCCCTTCCTGTCACTGGGTTGTAAAGAATCTGGCTTTCCCCTCATTCACATTGCCTGATGGGCCAGGATAACTAATATTTACAATAAAAAATACTCCCTCTAAGAACAAAATAACAAGAATTTGAGGAACATAATCATAAACAATGGATTATAGGTTCAAAAAGAACAAATATTAGATCAATGGACCAAGAACAATTAAAACACGTAAAAGTGAAAAGGAATCGTAAATAATAAAAGTCTAATATGCAAATTGTACCCAAGGGTGGGAGTTTGACCAACTGGGAGTTAGACATGCGCTGATCACTAGGGGGTGGCGTGGAAAATGGTGAGTGTTGGTGACACGGTGCTGGCAGTGGCCAGCAGTGGAGAGAGCGGGAAGAACGGGACCACGGCGGGATGGTTGAACAGGTGAGTGGGCGGTGCCAGGCCAAGGTGGGTGTGAGTGAAGGCCCCAATTGCCCCGCTGGTCGCCCCAAAGACAGCACCAGTGGCAGTGGTGGCAGGGGGCGGGGCCAACAAGCAGGCAGCTCCAGGCCAAGGCAGGTGCAAGCGAGGGCCCTGATCGCCCTGCTGGCCGCCCCACAGATCACCCCTGATCACCAGCCAGGCCTAGGGACCCTATGCATGCACGAATTCATATTGCTAGTATGAAATATAAGCAATATGAAATAAGAACAAGAAAAGTTAAAGGGCCCAGCTCAGTGGTTGAATGTTGACCTATGAACCAGGAAGTCATGGTTCCATTCCCAGTCAGCGCACATTCCCGGGTTGCAGGCTCGATCCCCAGTGTACAGCAAGCAGGAAGCAGCCAATCAATAATTCTCTCTCATCATTGATGTTTCTGTCTCTCTCTCTCCCTTCCTCTCTCTGAATCAATAAAAATATATTAAAAAAGAAAGAAAAGTTAAAGCAATCAAGCAAAACTTAGGAATCAAAATTATAATAGCTGAAATAACACATTAGATGAGAAACCAAAAGAGTCTATCAGAACAGATGCATTTGAGAAAAAATTAACTAACTGGTATGCCAGTTTGAGGAAATCTCCTAGAAAGAAGGCAAGGAGAAAGAAATAACAAATTTTAAAATCTTCCAGAACAAAACAGAAGATAATATACCAAAGAACACAAATCAGCCCTAGCTGGTAGCTCAGTTGGTTAGAGTGTCATCCTGATATGCCAAGGTCGTGAGTTCAATCCCCAGTCAGGGCACATACAAGAAGCAACTAATGAATGCATAACTAAGCAAAACAACAAATCAATGTTTCTCTTTCCTCCTTCCTCTCTCTAAAAAGCAATAAATTAAAAAAAAAAAACATTGAAAGAATATATTAATAAATCAGACAGCAAATTTTCAACAGCAACATTGGAAAACTAAGACAATGGAGTTCTATGTCCAAGATTGAAGAAAAATAACCCTAAAATTTTATATTCAACAAAACTGCCATTTGTGTCTGAAGGCATGGTTCTCAGGCATGCAAAGCTTCAAAAATTTATTTCACAAATCCTTTAAAACAGTTTTGGTTGTGGTACTTAATAAAGAGACAAAAATCTAAAAAATGCTGTAAGAGACATATGGAGAAAAGGTGATCAAATACTTTGAAATCATATTTATTATCTTTAAAAAATGAATCATATCCAAGTCTGGGTAATAGTAACATGATAGGAGTAAAAGGGAACAAATTCTTTTCCTGTGGGGAAGATATCTGGATATCAAATCTTTTAATTGAAATAAAAAATTAAAATGAAACAGGGAAAACAGTGAAGAGTTTCAAATGAAAACTGAAAAAATAAATTACGGCAGAAACAAATCTAAGTAAAATAAATTATACTGCATGTAAATCCAACAAAATCTAGACATATACTATTTCAAGAAACATATATAAAATTTAAGGACATGCAAAGGTTGTAAAAGATGAAAAAGAAATACCAGGCCATTATTAACTGAAGAGATTTGGTATGGTCATATTAATATCAGATAAAGCAGACTTTAAGGAACTTATTTTGGGGTAGCTAGATAACACCTGAGACAGAGAATAAGGTGGGGTCTGAGGGTAGGTGAGGAGCCTAGGTCTTTGATGGCTCCCCAAATCCTGTGTCTAGTCCCTTGGGAAGCACCCACCATCTTTCAGGTCCTAAATAAGCAGGTATTCTTCCAACAACTCCCTTCTTTCATTAAGCTGGTTGAAGTAGACTACTTCAAAGTTACTTGCTCCAAAAGGGTATTACTACCACAGTGCCTTCCCATGGGTGCTCAGTGAATGTTCTATAACTCACCATCATCAGGCTTCTTCACAAATTTGACTCCCAGTTCTTCAAATCTTTTGCAAGCACCATGTACATCAGGAACTGCAATTCCAATGTGACCTTAGGTGACCACCCCCGAAACAAGGCAAAGAGAAGGAAGAAATCATTACAACAGGTGGCCAAGTGCTTCCAAAACTAGTATATTTCAAAACAAAAGGCATCTAAAGACAGACTGAATCAAGGAGGTTAGAAAACTATAATATACAAGGTGAAGCAGAAGTAGAACTATAGTTGTTGATATAGAAAATAATACAATAATTAGTAAATAATAATAATAATAATATAAAAATAAACTCTGTTTCATGTACTCATAACTGTAAACCTATTTTTGTCCTGCTCTGAACTAAAGAATAAAAATGTAAGTCTAACTGGCTGGGTATAATAAATTAATTAGTTGCTCTGAATTATAAATTTTTGAAAATAAGGCCACAATTGATTCATATATTATGAATAGACTATTAAGAATAGGTTATTCAATCTATTAAGAATAACCTATAAAAGAATAATCATTTACCCATACTTACTAGGTTTGTGGTTGACAGTGACTACATAACAGCCAATTTAAGCCTGCTATCCCATTATTTTGACTGAAAGGTTTTAGTTCAGGCAGAAATATATGCTAAGCAAAAATCAAGATTGTTATTTGCCACAGCTTTTGATTTTCACATTGAAGACCCACTGGAAATATAACACAGAGACTGAAAAGTAAAATCACTGTGAGAGAGGAGATGTAATGTTCAGACTGAGACTGAGAGATTAAATGGCTCCTAAATAAAATTATTTGTGAAACTAAAAATAACAACAGCCCTGCTCCTAATAAATTACTTATCCTCAATGCTTCGGATCGTTTACAATCGTAAAAAGGAATGCGGCGCCAACAGCACACAAGCCCGTGCACGTCATATACAAACAGGGAGACGCACCGAAGCCTCGGGGGTCTGAGTTGCCGCTGTGGTAGCTCTGGGCCTCATCCTCCTCAGTGCCCCAATTGCTGTGAAAGGAGGGAAAACACAATTACAAGGGACCTGCAGAACAGATATTCTGGAAAGAAAGTTGCAACAATCTGTCTTTGTATTCTTATCCTATATATTATTTGATATACTCGGTCTAATCTCTGCTGTTGTAAATATTAACTTTTCAACTACAGAAAGGGCAAATGGGCAAAATATGATTTTAAGTAGACTAAGGAGACTAAACCAGGCATCTGGATAGCAATAACAAAAGCAACCATCACTCTCTGTGCCCAGTAAAATCCTCATAACAGCTCCGTGGGCTATATGAGAGTATCTGCATTTTATAAATGAGAATGTCATGGATGGAGGTGATATAACTTGTTCAGGGCTACAGAGTTATTGTCAGAGTCAAGACTCATGTTTAGGTCTGTCTGATTCCAGAACTGTTTTGAATCAGGGGACACATTAAATCACATATCCTGAAACAAATGCTGTTTTTGGTTATAAAGAGTGCACAGAACCTTGGCTAGGGTGGCTCTAAGGATGAAGTGTTGGTCCAAGGACCAAAGGGTTGCAGGTTCAATTCCTGGTCAAGGGTACGTACCTGGATTGCAGGTTCGATCCCAGCCCCAGTCGGTCAGTTAAGGAGTGTTCGAAGTAACCAATAGATGTATCTCTTTCACATCAACGTCACTCTCTTTTCCCTCTCTCTCTCTCTCTCTCTCTCTCTCTCTCTTACTCACCCACCCTCCCTTCCTTCCACTCTCTCTAAAAATCAATGGAAAAAAATGTCCTTGGGTCAGGATTAACAACAACAAAAACAATGCACAAGAACAACATAAAGAATAAAAAGAGGAATACCTATTTCAACATTTTATGAAGACTTAGTTGTAGTACTTAAACATTTGTTAGCTATAGGTTGGCAAATATCTTGCCATTTCAGTCTTAGATTTTCTACCTAAAAAGCAAATGATCCCACTAGTCCTATTTATGCCATAAGACCAACACAAAGACCAAAAGATCCATGAAAAAACACTCAAACATCCTGTTACAAATGCAAAGTGGTTCAGTAGACCAGGTTTGGATTAGGCTGGTAAGGGAAACAGTGTATAAAAACAAGCCTTTAAAAAATATAGAATATATAAAAAGATAGAAACTCATACTCACTGTGTCAGTTCAAGTGTAGCTTTTCTGGAGAAGACCCACGCTACCTTTTCATCTTTTTCTTTTGGGATGTCATTTTTATCCTCATAAGCCAAGAAATAGAGTGAAAATTTCATGGTGGGAAAATCTAATTTTTGGAGTAGCCTGAAATTAAACAACAATCCTGAATTAACAACAGGAAAGGTTGATTCATGCTAAAATCAACATAGCAATTTTCAAGTTCTACTAAGAATAACTCTGTAATAAGGCCATTTTAATAGGAAAAGCAAGATAAGCCAATGAAAATATTTCATTTTTAAAAATCTATTCAACGCTGTGGCTCAGTTGGTTGGAGCATGTCCTGTGCACCGAAGGACTGCAGGTTCAATTCTCTGTCAGAGCGCACACCCAAGTTTCGGGTTCGATTCCTGGTTGGTGGGTAGCCAATTAATGTTTCTCACATTGACATTTCTCTCTCTCTCTCTTTCTCTCTCTTTCTCTCTCAAATCAATAATAATTTTTTAAAAAGTATCCTCGGGTGAGGATTTAAAAAACAACATATATTCATCTGTAAATATCAGTGAAATAAAAATTTAAAAAGCAAACTTTTGTAATTCATCATTTCTTCAGATATCATCAATTCTTTAAATATAATGAAACTTAGCCAGAATTATGATACTTGTTTAAAAATTGCAAAAGATATCTTCAAAATAAAATTTTATTTTTAGTAAAAGATATAATGTGTTACTTTACTGTCCTTTCAGGTATAAGACATTCAGTTAAAGAAAATAAATGCATTGAAAGTATGACTGTCTAATCACTAACTTGGACATCTGAAACTGAATCAAAATAGCCCAGCCCATGTGGCTCAGTGGTTGAACATCGACCTATGAACCAGGGGGGTCAGAGTTCATTTCCTGCTCGGGGCACATGCCCAGGTTGTGGGCTTGATCCCTGTTAGGAGGCATGCAGGAGGCAGCTGATCAATGATTCTCATCATTGATGATTTTCTCTCTCTCTTCCTCTTCTTTCCTTTTTGAAATCAATAAAAAATATGAAAAAAATAATAACTATAATTGAAAAATAAAACTTAAAAATACTTTTTAAATAAATAAATAAATAAATAAATAAATGTACTGAGTTCTTACTAAGCCAAAACTCCTAGGGGAAAAATCTGTGGTAAGGAAGAAGGAAGGATACAGAAGAGGTGACTGTCCACAATTAAGTGGTTAATAGTATCAAATACTGCAGAAAGGTTGAACAGGCCTGAGATTGGGAACAGGTCACCAGATATGGAAAGGTCCCGTGAGGCAGTTTCCGCAGCATGGGGCAGCAGAAGCTGGACTGCCTGCACTAAGAGAGAAAGGGGAGGAGCAAGTCAATCAGCAGCGTGGTCTACCTCCATCGATAGTGGGAGGCGATGGGTAGGAGGGCCAGAGAGCAAAGAGTAAGAATTATCCTAGAATAAAGACGACTTAAGCTTTTCTGTAGGTCGAGGGAAAAAACCCAGTGGAAAAGGAGAGACTGATATGAGAGAAAGAGTAGACAAATTATTAATCCTGAGGTTTTAAAAAAGATCAGTAAAGTTATGGCCTATAAAGTAAATTCAGAGTATAAGATTATTTTGCAAGGAATAGGGTAGTATGAGTATGCATATAATTTTCTTTAGATTAGCATTAAATGCTCCAAGATGACCTCATCTATAATAATAAAAGTATAATATGCTAATTAAACTGGACAGCCAAACGACCTTCTGGACGAAGCTGCAGTGGTGGGGGCCAAGGCAGAAGCAGTTAGGGACGTTCAGGCAGGCAGATGAGCAGTTAGGGGTGATCAGGCAGGCCGAGTGGTTAGAGGCGATCAGGCAGGCAGGCAGGCGAGCAGTTAGAAGATTGCAAAGAGGATGTCTGACTTCCAATTTAGGCCTGATCCCTGTGGGATCAGCAGGATCAGGCCTAAACTGGCAGTCGGACATCCCCTGGACAGAAGATTGCGAAAGGGTGCAGGCCAGGCTGAGGGACACCCCTCCCCCTGCCCCATGCACAAATTTCATGGACAGGCCTCTAGTTCATAATAAGAGGGAATGACTGAAGCCTAACAAATGAAAAGTTCCTAGAGTTCTGTTGAAATCTTTTGATTATCACTGGTATGTAACATGCCCTGGCCGATAAAATCTATGCACTGACTTAGCACAAATAAGACTTACTCTATCTGTTTATAATAAAGCATCAAGCACCTCAAATACTGCAGTCATGAAATACTTAAACAGACTGCACAGCCTTGCAGACCTGTCAGGTGGGAGATGCAGCTCATGTTCCTGCTGAAACTTGCTTTTCTCAGCTGAGCATATCTTTCAGTACAACCTTACGACCCCCTCTTGGGGGCTTTTAAAAACAAGGTCAGCATTGGAGTTCATCAGACCTGGCTTCAAAACCAGGGCTGGTTACTTAATGTTTAACCCCTGGCTTCTTCCTTCATATGGGGACATAAGCTACCTTATGGACCTACTCTGAAGATGGAATGAAATACTGTATCAAATGCCTGCAAATAGCAAATGAAATTAGTTTGGTTTCATTCTGTCCTTTAAATATGCAAAATACTTTTCCTGAAAAAAAAAAAAAAAAAAAAAAAAAAAACTACAATAAATTATTTACAGCAGTTATCTCTGGGGAGAAGAACTGGGAGAGGGAAGTTATTACATTTCATTTTGTATTTTTCTGAATTGGCTGGATTTTTAAAACAGAGACATATATTGTATTAACCAAATTTTTCTCTCAATGTCAATGAAAGTTACCTAGGCAGCAAATTAAAGATCATTTTACTCTTTACCTTTATTATAAAAAACAAACAGAAAACTCAAATCAATAAAAATGAGCTCTGGGGAGCCCGCCACGCCTTTCCTGTCACCTCTTCTTCTTCGCTTCTTCTCTCCAGGAGAGTTACCTTTGTCTTTCTCTCTCCTAAGCTCCAAGGGCCCGGCTTTTGCTTCTGTAACCTATTTCCTGAGCCTCCGCAGCCCAGCTGGCTCACTTCCACTAACTTTCTAAATAAATCTTCTCTTACAATTTGAAAAAGAATAATAAACAAATGCACTTGAAGAATGACAAGATCAGAGGATAACCTTTTTCAGCAAAAGACAACACTTTCTATAAAAATGGGAAGGTGGCCAGTTTTAGGTAAACTCATTCATTTTCTAAGTAATAGGTCTTTGTATCTCTACCTTTTCTGAAGTAAACAAGAGGCTAAAAGTGGCTCTAACATCCAAAGGGTCTGGGCATACTAAGGATTTAACTGGCAGCTCTCAGAGAGAAGGGAGTTAGAGAAAATACAAGTATTGGTGTCTCGCTGCCCACTGAGCCTGGCTGGGACAGAGGAACTGACAGAAGCCCTGACAGCAGCCCCTGACTGCTGGCCAGAAGGACTTTTGTGATTTATGAAGCAAACTTGAAACCATTTTTAAAAATATATTTGAAAGCATTCCCTGTATTTGCAAAGCTATATATTTAAACATTACAGGCGCCAATATATAGTTTACTTACGTCATTCCAAGAATTCTAGTATAAAAATCCAAAGACTTCTTAGGATCCTTAATTCGCAGCATGGTCTGCTGCAACAGAAAATCCTAAGGAGAACAGTACGTATTAAACACCTTCCATTTTTAGCACTTGTACCAACATTAACTGTGCCTTCTGTAACAAGACGCAAACGGTCCACCATTGTAACAACAGTTATGGAGAAAACACTTTTTGTCCTTTCTGTCTACCATGGAAACCATCTGGAAAGCTTCCATACCTACTGCCTACAACTTGGGCTCTCTGCCAAGGGTATTTCCTGGTCACAAGGGTTGGCAGGTCCCAAGTGCCAGGGAGTTTACAGCCCAGAAATGACACTCAACCAATTGTCCTCAGTGGGACAATTCTGAGGAAGGTGCCAGTTTCTCAGAGGCTT